CCCACCCAGCCCTGCCCTCTGGCACTGGGAGCCATTCCCTGGGTCCTGTCCCTCCATCCTTGTCCCCAGTCCCTCTCCAGCTCTCCTGGAGCCCCTCCAGGCCCTGCAGGGGCTCTGAGCTCTCCCTGGAGCTTCTCCTCTCCAGGGAGCACCCCCAGCTCTCCAGCCTGGCTCCAGAGGGGCTCCAGCCCTGCAGCAGCTCCGTGGATCCCTCTGGGCTCTCTCCAGCAGCTCCACATCCTTGATTTTAGAGGCTCCAGGGCTGGGGACAGCTCTTCAGGTGGGCTCATTCCATGGCCACAGCGGTACACCATCCCACAGACCCCCAGCCAGAGCATCCATCCTGGAGCGAACCCTTCCCCTGCCCTCACCACAGATCTGCCTCTTCCCCAACAACCTCCTGGCCCATCCCATCCCATCCCATCCCATCCCATCCCATCCCATCCCATCCCATCCCATCCCATCCCATCCCAGCCAGGCTCCACAGCCGGGAAATCCTCCAGAGGAGTTGGAGCTGCAGCTTTGCCCTCCTGGGAAGGGCAGTAGAGCATCAAAGTGGAGGCTGGCATGGACTCCTTAAAGTGGTTTTCCATTAAAACCTTTAATTTTGGGACACAACTCTGAGTTTATAACCACGGGTTAAGTTTTAGAGCCAGAATTGTCTTTTGAGAGCAGCAGGAGGAATTCCTGGGACGGGGCAAAAGCTGTCCCCAATGTCACCTGTGCCGTGTGATGTCCCCACCGCGTTCCTACCCTAGCCTGGAGCTGAGTGCAGCACCCCAAAAAACCATCGGGGCACCCCAGATTTAAAATCCAGTGCGTGTGGGGATTGCATTGACACTCACAGACTCGGGGGAGTCGGGGGGGTTCGCTCTGAACCCCTCCCACCCTGGCCCCAGCCGGTTCATCTGCACAGCCCCTGTCCCCTCATACTGCCCCTGTCCCCTTCCCACAGCCCCTGTCCCCTCCCCAAAGCCCTGTGTGCTTCCCACATCTTCTGTCCCCTCCCCAAACTCCTGTCCCCTCACACAGCCCCTGTCTCCTCCCCATGGCCCCTGTCTCCTTCCCAAACTCCTGTCCCCTTCCTAGCCCGTCCCCTCCCCAAACTCCTGGCCCAATCCCACAGCCCCGTCCCCTCCCCAGCCCCT